AATATAAAAAGCAACATTCCTATGGTACAGAGAGAGTAGACTGCATGTGTATCAATACTGTTTTACATGTAAACATAGTAACATACTATAAAGGTACTAGAAGTATTGACAATACTTCAGAGGAGCAGCCTTGGGAAAGACAGGGATTAGACAAAAAAAGGGAATTAACTATCAGAAATGCTTCATTTCTTATAAAAAAATCTCTGACACAGATATAGCAAAGTAGAAGCACAATTATTTTATGGTGGCCTGGACATTAACATTTGTACAAGATACTTTGTGCTTCTCTGTTTTCTTACACACACTCACACACAGTGAAAAAGAAGCCAATTATTTCTTTGTAGTTTTAGTATTGCATGCATTGTTAAAATAGAGAGTTGGACTTATTCCTCTAAGTTAAAAAATGTAGTCTGTATTATCAACCTGGGAAAATATTTGCAACATGTATTGCTACATTATCAGTCACTGATTTCTCTTGGGATTGCTACTGTTGCTATTTTACAATCACAGCTTTTAGTTTCTCCTTTATCTGACATCAATGGAAACAGAAAGGTAAGGGGAAACAAATTTTTGGGGGGAGAATTTTTTTTTTACAGTCTTCAATCCATTAAGATTTACTTAGGACTCATATGAATGATATAGACATTATCAAAATTCTCACTTATTACAAACCATACATACAAGGTATTAAATGAAAACCATCAGCAAAAAGTGCTTTGTTGAATGCCCTCTGCATTTAAAAGTTTTCTTTGCTGTGTTTGGAACTGGAAGATATCATGTTGAGTGAAGTAAGCCAGAAGAAGAAAGACAAACACAGGATGATCTTACTTATCTGTGGAATATAAAGTGCATGAATGAAGAAATGTAGTAAAGGGGGGACGCCTAGATCACCCTTGACCACAGTATTTAGAGAGGAGAAGGACAGAGAAGGAAAGAAATCAAGAGGCGCACAAGAGAACAGGAAGTAATGGGTGAACAGGCATCAGAGTTTCAGTTATGCCAGTGATATGGACGAGTGGTAGAGCCATATATCTGAAACAGACTCACCAACACTAAAAACATGAGATCTAAGCCGCAACCAGTGAAATTTTGTAAAGTGTCAAGTTGATAGGCGGGGATAAAGTAGGAGTTGTTTTGGGGCGGGAGCACTGGGGGAGGGAAGCTGACACTGGCGGTGGGATTGATGTTGAAATATTATATGCCTAAAACTCAACTACCAATAACTTTGTAAATCATAATTCTTTAATAAAAACAAAAGCTTATCTGACTAAAGCTTTAGAGCTACTTGAACATTTTCATCTTTGTGTAGGTCTGTAATATATAATTTTAAGTAAAAAAATAAAAATTAATAAAATATTAGTTTTATGTTGCTTTATTATAATATGAATATTCTATAAGTGGAAAGTCACATATATAAATTCACGAGTTTATATTTATGAATTTATAAATTATTTGTAATTTTCACAAATCTGGTACTCTGTAAGGCAATCAGCAAGATGTAAACCTTGTTGGCATCACAAATTTTGTGATAGCAAATGGTTTTCCTTCTAGTATTTTTAGTTGAAAATACCAAAGAGTTTTTTTTTCTTCCTTCCTTCAGGTAACTGACTTATGATTTGAAGATTTCCATTCAAACACTGCTCTTAATAACATGATGAGTAAATAAAGATAGTTGGGTGTTTAAAAAATTCTAGATGACTAGAATTCTTAACTTTTTACAAATGTATAGTGAAACACAGGCTTATTTTCCTGACGTTCTGTACATGTTTTATATAAAATATGTGTATTATCATGCTAATTTCTAAGTGCCTCCTCCCCATCCACCCTCCCCGCCCTCATCAAAATAGGCTTTAAAAAAAATACTGGTGGGATAACATCACTATTTTCAGAATCCTAGCTTGGTTGGTTCAACAAAACAGTCACTTTAAAGATTCTTTCCTTATTTGTAAAATACAAATTCATCATCACTGCTATCCCAAAATACTTCCCAATACACTGTACACATGGTGAAGAGCGTACATTTTGTTTTTGAGAGTCAAACAAACAACTAAATTTGAAACCAATATGAAATTAGAAGAATTAAATGCATGTGAAATTTAATCACAATTGTGTGTGTGTGTTTGGTGGGGGGCACACCTGATGGTGCTCAGGTCTTACTCCTGACTCTGTACTCAGGGGCTACACTTGTCAGTGCTTGGGGGACTGCATGTAGTGCCCAGGATGGAACCAGACTTGGCTAAGGTGTTTTGATTAAAATATTTTGATTCTTTTTAATGTGTGCCTTCCCAAGAGATTCACCACCACTCCAATGCCAAGCTATTGTTCAGTGCCTGGAGGAATGCTGAGAGCACAACACACTAGATGTCACAAAGCACCATTCTCTACCTGGTCTTATTTTCCAAGAATAAGAATCTACTTTAAATGAGAACAGTGGACACTAAATCTGTGCCATCGTGTGCTACAAAACTGGTCATGAGTGGTTCGCCCATGGCTTTGTCATTAATAAGTTCTGGCAACTTGGATTAACAATAATCATAATCATAGAAACAAGAACAGCCAGCAACTGGCTTGGGCCCATGTCAACATAATAGCAAAAGGAGATTCTCTGAATGACAGAATTTTGTGTTTACTGCTGACTCTGAGCAGTTGTTTCTTTTAAGCAAGATTTGCAAAACTGTGACATTTGAAAGCTGAATCCAAGCTAATGATCAACTTCATTTTTCCTCTCCAGGATTTTGAAGATTTGGAAATGTTATATAATGTCTAATTTTTCTCTAAAATCAGAAGCTGAGCACCTCGTTTCTAGCCTTTTCTCGGAATCTCAGAAAAAAATAGTGAGCCCTCTTTATACAGGGAAAGGGCTTTCCCAGTTTTCTACTGTTCTCACCACTCCCTATCATCTTACCTGCGACTGACTGCTCTAATTTACCTGCTGGGGTCTCGTTCAGCACTTAAGTAACCAATCCTAGCTGCAAACAATTTGTTGCTGCCACAGTCTGTGCAGCAGACTGAAGTGGGTTCTGATGGAAAACTAAAATGCTAACCTCGGAGTAATACAAACATCCTTACTCCTGTACAGCACAGATCCATCATCTGGCCAAGTCTCAGCCTCTCCAGGGAACTGGGGGACAGAGAGGAGAGTGCCTTTCATTCTCATCAGCAGATATTCAATGATCTTTTTAAGCCAGGGATCCCTTATAGTTCAAACAAGTCTTGCTTGCAAGTCCACCACAAAACAAAAAATAAATAAAAGATTGCAAGAAGGCAGTCCTGGTCTACAGGAAAAGAGAAGGTGCAGCAGGAAGCAGTCATCAACTCTACCCCTCTTTCCTTTAGTTGTCTGGAGCCACTGATGGCATCTCACTGAGGCTCCAAATAGCACTGTAGCACTGTCCTCCTGTTCATCAATTTGCTCGATCGGGCACCAGTAGCATCTCCATTGTGAGATTTGTTGTTACTGTTTTTGGCATATCGAATATGCCACGGGGAGCTTGCCAGGCTCTGCCATGTGGGCAGGTCCTCTCAGTAGCTTGCTGGGCTGAGAGAGGTGGAGGAATCGAACCCAGGTCTACCACATGCAAGGCAAACGCCCTACCCGTTATGCTATTGTTCCAGCCCAAGGCTCCAAGCAAACCTGCCTATTTGAGAAGCACAGCAGAACTCCAGTAGAGGCCTCCACAAAGAGTCAAGTTCCTCTATGAGCACTCAGCCAAGAGTTCCTTGGCTACACTGAGAGCCTCGGGAAAGCACACTTGGAAGGGACCTCGAGGCCATCTGTTCCAATGCGATCCACTTACATGAAAGAAAACAAGATGTCTCCAAGTGAATGGCATGGACCTGAGGTTCTCGAAAAAATTTTGCCTGCAAATTCCTCTTCAAAAAAAAAGTTACTCAGTGCCCCCCTCCCTGGAAATCTGCCTTCCTTAAGTGAACATACAAAAAGCACCCCTCAATTATACGCCAGGCTCCTACAGCTGCCCGGGCTGAGGGCTGTTGCCTACTCAGGAGAAAACTCAGGGAGACCAAGAAAAGTCAAGGATAGTGATAGTCACTACTCACACCTCCTCAAGCCCCTTCATTCCCTGTCTCCAAGTCTGGGCGAGTCAGGGGGCACGATCACTTTCAAAACTCCTACTGACACTCTGAAGAGAACCAGTGACCATGACTTTCTATTTAAATTCGAATAAGTTTCTCCAAGATGTGGGTCCATGAATTGGGGCATTTGGGGGTGGAAGGAGAGGCAAAGCCTTTACGTGAAAGGAGTGGTCTTAGGCTCCCTCTCCTGAACGAACATCTGCTCTTGCTGGATTCTTGTGCACAGCATGAGAGAAATGGCAGCCTCGGAAGTGAGCAGCTGCGAGTGAGCAAACCTTATGCCCAAAGCCCCGTCTACCCCACCCTCCTGCATGAAGGAGGAACTCAAGACAGTCTGAAGGAAAATGAATCAAATTCTCAGACTAATTCTAAAGGATTTTAGGTTTCATTCAAAGTTTTGAGAAGAAATTTCCAGAAATTGCAATTTAAAACTGCCCTCTAAGCACTCACAACGAGGGTTTTTTTATTTTATTAAAAATACTTTGTTCGGGGCTGTAGCAATAGTACAGCAAGTTGGGCGTTTGCCTTACATGCAGCTGACCTGTGTTCAATTCCCAGCGTCCCATATGGTCCCCCAAGCACCACCAGGAGTAATTCCTGAGTGCATGAGCCAAGAGTAACCCCTGTACATCACCAGGAGTGACCCAAAAAGAAAAAAAAATACTTTGTTCAATCACTCTTTTATTAAGTAAACATTGTAAAACCATTTTCAGTTCTAGGGTTTTAATTTTTTTTATTCATTTTGGTTTTATCTATTCATTTGGCCATACCTGGTAGTGCCCAGGATTCATTCCTGGTGGCACCTAGGGGAACATACCATACCAAGGATCAAATCTGGGCCGGCTTCATACAAGGCCAGTGGTATTTCTTTAGCCACTATTTTATTTTTTTCTTCAGTATCAAAAATGGTGGTCAGGGCTGACTCATGCCCATGGCGGCCATGCAGGAGCTGGGCGAACCCGGAAAGGAAAGGTAGAATTGAAAGATCATGTGATGTTGGATTAGGAGGATTTATCTTGGTTATTTTAGGATGCTGGTTCCACTGTAGGTATAATTATGCAAAGCAAAAAATTCAGGAAAGAATTGCCAGAGAAGGAATTAAAAAGAAGATTTTATATGAGAATACCCACCTTGATCCTGAAAGAAAACCAACTGACAAAAACAGCAGCAGCTAAGCAAAAAACCCATATACAATTCATTCAAGTTCAGCATGAAGAGCTTGCAAGCAACGACACAAACTTTTGTGTACCATAATAAAGCAAATAAACTATAAACTTGTTTTTCACATTAAAAAAAATGGTGGTCAGGAGGTCTGGGGTTCTCTTCTACAGATTCTCAACCAACTGGGCTGGCAGTTCAATGGACAGGTAATAGATGACAAGTCAGAGGTGCGGTTGGGCCAGAAGGAGCTGAGGATACCCAGAGCTGCATCTACTGGTGCTAAGGGAGTACCTGTGGGAGGTTTTAATTTTGCTTTTGGTTTCAGTATTTCTGTAGTGGATTCAGGATTAAGACTTGCTTAAACCAGAAGGAACCCTTGTCTTTAAAAGATTGTTGAAAATATCTGCTGGTAAAAAGAAAAGGGGCTCTCCTCTCTGTCCCCCAGTTCCCAGGGACAGTGCAGCATGGAGAGGCTGAATCTTGGTCAACTGCATTCAAGGCAAGATCTTACCCTTTTATTATTTCTCTAAGCCCAGTCAGGGCTATTTTTCCTAATATACATTTTTCTTTTCTCTCAATTTTTATTTACTATAATCTATATTGTTTAATGGCATTAAAGTTTATAAGATCAATTCATAAATTTGCTACGCAGCCCCCACTACCAAATTGCCCACAATCTTCCACCACTGTCCTGACCTCTAGTCTGGTCTGCCCTCTTCCCCAAGGATGTGGCAAATGGTCTGTATTCCAATGCTAAGCGTTTGCCACTTTCTCGCCCCGTTTTGTCTCTCTGTATTCCACAGAGGAGTGAAATCATCCCGTATTTGTCCTTCTCCCTTTGACTTATTTTGTTTAACCAGATGCCCTCCAGACCCATCCCTGTTGCAATTTCATCTTTTTCCTAAAACTGCATAGTTTTCCATTGTGTCAATAAAAGAAGACTGAATGTTGCAGAATTTACTTTTTTAAAATTCTACAAACTACAAAGGTGAATTTCAAATGATTAAAATATAATCAGCAGGACAGTGTAGAAGAGGGTCGCTGGGAGGGCCCATTGGATGCACACCGTAAATCAGTCTAAGTTCTAACTGTTCTAAGTCTTTCAACACTGCAGGGAGGAATCAGGAAATAACAGACAAAAAGATGGCTTCTCTTCCTATCTCCACATGGTGCCATCTTTCTGTAAAATTCAGAAAACTGCAATTTCACTAATCGAGTATGGTAATAACTTGAGAAAGTCAAAAGTACATGCCAAGATGGATAAAAATATTTCAGTCCACAATTTCTGAGTCAGAAGACGCTCCATATTTTGTGACACCACAACCATTTTCTACCAAAAAAAAAAAAAGGCAATTCTCAAGTGGTTCAAGCTAAGCAATTGTGAGGCCCTAGTTTGATTCTCACCATTCTATGCCACTGCTCTACCAATATTGGGTATGGCCCTGATGGCCCCCAACACATGGGTATAGCTTTTATTTGAAGAAACAACAAAAAAGAGCACACAATAGTGGCTCTCCATTGGGTGGGCATGTTACTTTGGGCTATTAACCTCTTGAGGAAGTTAAGAACTTGTCTTAATAAAATGATACTAATGGGGGGGGGGCTGGAGCAATAGTTCAGCGGGTAGGGCATCTGCCTTGCATGCAGCTAACCTGGGTTCAACCCCTGGCATCTCACATGGTCCCATGAGTACCACCAGGAGTGATTCCTGAGTGCAGAGCCATGAATAATCCCTAAGCATTGCCAGGTGTGGCCCAAAAGTTTTTTTAAAAAAATGTATTAATGATAGTCATCATGTCAAATGAATGATAGGGATAGCAAACGAAATAATAATACATGTTAAGAACTTAAATTGATAAGAAGTACACAGAGTTCAAAGAACATTAGTTCCCCTAAGTAGGCCACCACTGTAACAGATCAGGAATCATGTAACTTGCCTATGGGCATGGGCCATAAGGACTACTTACCATGAAAGCAAACTCACAGTTGCTAACATTATCAGACTATAAGCTTAATGGAGTAAAGAAATGCATTCTTTGTTTTAGGCCTCTCAAGTAATACTCAAGAGTGCTAGAGTACCCTTCTAAGTGATTTTCCACTAACTGGAGCAGATATCTGCTGTGAGAACCTGAGGGAGGAGTGTTACTCAGGACTGCACTGCCAGGGATTATCCAGCCAGCCCAGCAGTGCTCAGGGTCCACCAGGGCTCCACCCAGAAGTGCTCAGGAAGCTCCCAAGCTACACCTACCTGGCTATGCCTGGGAGATTCTGTGGTGTTCAGAATCATACTGACATCAACCACTTGCAGGGCAAGTTACTTAACCTCTGACTATCTCTCCAGCTCCCAGAAATGCATTCTAATCACTTTCTAAATACATACCTTACATAAGATTTTGTACCACCAGATAATCAATTTTTTTTGACACAGAGAAAGAAAAGTTAATAAAGATAAGTGGGATGACATAAGTGAGGCCATGGACTATAACAGTCATCCTAGTTTATGTTTTACCCAGAAGAGTTTACCTAAAAAAATCAAACAAAGATAAAAATGCTAGTTGATGGCTAATACCATCTAGAAGGATTTCTTTATTCCCACAATTTTTCATTTCTAGGTGGGATTAGTCTTTGATTTCATGGGTACCATAAAAGACCAAAGGCACAGGCGCCCACCCCTGAAGCATGGTGGAAACCAAGTCACATTTATCACAAGTATTTTCATCAGTGGTAATGCCAAAGTCCCAATGGCTCTCTCAAGGAGAATCACCTCCCTTGCTGGACTGCTGGACCTTTGAAATGAGTGACCCAGAGGTAGCCCAGTACACAATGCCCCAAGCCCTCAGGAATCTGAACACAATGTAAGTGAGTTGTGTGTGTCTGTGTGTGTGTGTACAATCAAATGTGTGGAGAGCAGGAGCCTGGCTTTTCCAAGAAGGGCAGCCCAGAGGGCAGATGAGAGCCTCATTGGCCTGGGCTCCTTCCCTGTTTGGAGAGGGAGAGAGAAGTCAGAAGAGCAGCAGTGAGAACTCCTCCCCACCTGGCTTTCCAATTTGCAAACTGAGCTACGTTGAGGCTTGAGAAAAAGGACCCCAACACAATGCTTTTAGCCCATGAGCCAGTCTCTTTCATCCCTGAACTAAGGGGAAAACTACAGCTAATGACCCAGTCTTCTATACTTGTGTGGCATTTTCGTTTATAAATACTTTCACAAGTGAGTTTGATCCTTATCCCTGACCCAGCAGAAAGGCTGGACAGTCTTCTGTTTTACAGATAAGCAGCCCTGGGCTGAGAATCATTGCCTGCATCGAAGTTTATGCATGTGAAGGGACAGGACGCATCTAAGTCACAGGCCACCATATGGAGATTTTGCTCAGCCCCTCCTAGCCATCCTAATAGGGAGAAATAGTGGAACTTTCCCTTTAAAAGCATCTGACATCCTGCAAAGGACAGTCATAAATATGTTCCTAATGACTCTTATCAGTTATCAAACATATTCCTATTTACAGGTTAAATATTCCTATTTCCAGGTAAATATCGCAGTAGTGAGGCTTACTTAGTAAAACTGACAGCAAGTGACAATGCAGCTGGCAAAATCACAACTCCCCTGACTCTCATGGAAAACCAGTCTCTTTCCACTAGGAAGACCGCAGAATGGTAGGGAACATCAACACAGGGAAGACCGGGGTCTGTGGATATAGTGACAGAGTTTTAAAGAAAGCTTCTTTATGAAAGCAAGTGTGGGCTCATGTGCCCATACTCATGTGTGTTCAATTTTTCAACCCTGTCTTTAAGGACAGGATAGCAGAGGGCCAGGGAAATAGAGAGCACAACTTGTGTTCGCTCACAAGGAGCCGACTTCAATCTCTAGCACTGCATGTTCCTCCAGGTACCACCCTGGAGGTCACACAGCATCACCTGGTACTGCCCTGGTAGCCCCCAGCACTGCCAGGATCATCACTGAACCATCTTTCTGGCTGATTGAGAATCACTGCGAGTGGGCCCTGGGCCTCAGGAGCACTCACAGCTTGGGAGCTCTCACCCCTCAAACTGTAATGCTAATGCAAAGATTTTTTTTTTCCCCTCTTTCATTTCTACCCTTTTCCCCTCCTCCCTCCAATCGCATCAACTTCCTTTGTTGTTATTTCTAATAAGAACCTCCTTCCCCCTCACTTTGGAATAGTTGGGAATGTTTGGAATGCCAGCCTTTTAAGAAGCGGTTACAAAGGTCAAGTAATAAATGCCCCATAAAATAAATGAGTGATGGTGATATACACCGCTGCTGTATTTTCAGTAATGCTGATATAAAGCTATATACTGTACTTTGTCAATTCACATTCATCAAGTTCTAGAAATATTAGAAAATCATTAGAGGTTTATGTTGAGTTTGCAGATAATGCCAACATATAAGTCAAGACTGAAATATGGTAATCAGAAAAACACTTGAAAAGTGTCAATAAACTGTAAAACCATGGGGGCAGGGTTGGGGAACCAGCCTCTGAGGAGAGGCTGGGCCAAGAGATGAGGACGCAGGTTCTGGGCACACTAGGGTAGGAGAGGACAGCTGTTGCCCAGGGTCAGGCTAGCAGGGGAGAAGGGGTGTATCCAAAAATTCCAGCACAAAGGCTCCTGAGAGCCAGAGCTGCCCGGGTGAGTGCCACTTATCTTCCAGGAGGGCGTGGCAGCCAGCAGCACAAGCCTGCCATCCATCAGTCCAGAGTCTTCTTGAGACAGCCTGTCTGTTGACCAGAGGAAGTATTTGAGGAATCAGGCCTCCATGATTAGGATTGGGGCTGGGAGCAGAGTGAGCCTGTTGAACCTTTCACTTTTCAGTTGGCGGAAGCCAAGATGCTGGAAAAGTCCTGACAGTTCATTCATTTCCCTTCTCTCTGGAGCCGGCTGATGCTGGATGGCGCAGACCCGCCCTCTTTGATGTTGTACTCTTTTGAGAGTGGCCCCGCTGTGCAAAAAATTTTATCCATCCAAATTAAAGAGCAATATTCTGTGCCCAGCTGCTCGCTGTGACATGCTCACCATTTTTCAGGGGACTGGCTGAGTGCCATG